TTAGGGTAGTATATATATATATATACTATATATATATACCCTACACGCACGCGTGTACGTGGTGTGTGTGTGGGGGTGGTAGGGGTTAGGGTTAGGGTAGGGGTTAGGGTGAGGGTATATATATATATTCCTCTCTAGAAGTTTGTGTACGCGGTGTGTACTGGTCCTTATACAATGTTACCATGATTGTTATACAATGTTATCACGTCATTGTTATACAATGTTATCACGATTCTTATACAGTGTTACCACAATTCTTACACATGGGCACCACGATTGTTATACAATGTACGTTATACAATCAGACATGCACTGGCGTAGCTAAGGGGGGCACGAGGGGGCCATGTTGATTGGCAAACAAAACAANGGGGGGCGACGACGGCTTTCGTCTCATATCGTAAGCCTAGGCCTGCGCGCCACGTCCGCCTACTGCTGAGTCAGTGAGTGCTGAACACCGTCTGTAACCTTATACTAGCTGACACCACTGACACCCGGCATCTTCTGCACTCGCCACCGCTGATCTCTATCAACGGTTCTATGACTGTGTGCAGCGGCGTTGTACACTGACGAACTGCGAGTTTGGCGCGACTCGATCGAGCGCGTCAGCGTCGACCACGAGCGTAGCGCTGGGGGCGTTGGGCATATAGGCGTTAGGGTATACTATTATATACTATATATTATATATATATATCAGCGGTTAGGCCGTATATATATATATATACTATATATACCTATATAGGGTTTAGGGTATAGTATATACTATATAGTTACTAAGGCGTTAGGGAAGTAATATATATATATTATATATATATATAGGGCTTAGGGTATATATATAATATATATATATATATACCTATACTATATATATACCCTAACCCTACTATATATATATATATATATATATAATATATACCCTAACCCTATATATATATATATATATAATACCCTAACCCTATATATATATAGTATATATATATATTATTATATATATACCCTACACGCACGCGCTGTACTGTGGTGTGCTGCTGGCCTGGGCCCCGTGTGCGTAGGGGGCTTAGGTTAGGGTTTCTCTCAGGGGTATGGGTGAGGGTATATATATTATACCCTAACCCGTATATATATATGATATATATCATTTAGGGTTATTGGCGTATTATATATATATAGGCGGCCAAGGTATATATATATAGAGTATAGGGTATATATATATATACGCTCACCCTAACCCCTACCCTAAGAGCAGTACCAAGTTAGTGCAATGACATTAATGTCAACGAAATCCTCAAAATCGACGCAGAAGGACTTGACTTTTGGATTTTTGAGATTTCTGCAGCCAGACAAAAACATGACTAAAGAAAGCGAGATAATTCTTCTCTTGCCTTCAGATTTTGGGTTGTTGCAAGTGGCCTTTGATTTGAACTTTTATGGCGTTCGAACTCTTATTGACAGTAGAAAGAGAATGGAAATTGCTTTGGGGCAATAACTTTGAGTATATTCGAACTTTATAGACGGCACATTGTGGCCATCCACTCGGTTTTTATTTCAAAATTCGATTTCAACACTATGTTTAAGTAACTGTTCTCTATCAGGGAGGCCAAAAAACAATTCTGTTCTTCATGGTAAATTTCCTTTTTATTTAATCTAGAACGGACCGTATTTGGCAGTACCTTTGTTTTTATTGAAATCAAATTTCAATTATGGTTTTTGTTCTCATCAGAGGAAAGCAAAAACATTTTTGTCTTATAACGAACAAAATGTTAAATGTGATCTTTCAACCGCTATTGCTATTCTAAACGATGTAAATCCTTTTGTATTTAAATAAAATCTGCTGTTGTATTCAGTGCAGTTCCAACACATCCTACCTGTTTTTCCCGTAGATCCTTTATTTCGATTTCAGTCAATAGCCCTCTACTTTTTCAAAACATATTTAACTTTTAACTTTTATATGAGGAACTTGCAAACAGTTTAATGACGGATAAATGCAACATGCATAGGCTACTGCTAACAACACAAATTCAACTAATTCAATATTTCGTCAGTGCTCTGAATTGAGGACATAGCGTAGTTAAGCGGGCGGGCGGGCGGCAACAAGCGATGCCATGACCCCCGTCTTGAATCGCGCAGAGTACAAAATTAAGAGCAGAAGGGCCTGAATGGGATTGGTCTATACCACTATTACCTACACCTAATAATGAAATGAAAATGCGCAAAATGCCATTTTGATGCACATATTTTCAAAAATTACCTTACTGTGGGAGGGGAAATCACCCTCCCCCGGTTGTCAGAAATGCCCTTCATCGCTGTCTTTTGGCTCCTTAACTCTTTTCTTCCCTCCCTGAAAAACACTGGCGCTCGGTACACCATTTCACTGTCTAGCTAAGCCGCCGAATCACCAACTGGTCGTGTGTAACCTCAGAGCCTTCCAGCGCCACAGCCAGGGGCCATCGTCCCACGTTGATCGGATCGGAGTGGAAAAAATAAAAAGCGAGGGAGGGGGGTTATAAGGGATTAGCATATGCCACTTCTCATATAAGTTACCCCTAATACTGAATTTTAGTGTGCAGAAAATGCCATTTTCATGCACGAATTTTCAAAAATCTCCCTACCGTGGGAGGGGGATACCCCTCCCACACCCTACCCCCTCGGTCGCTTCGCTCCCTCGCCTTGGCCCCCCCTGCCTACGCCACTGGCGGTAACCACACATATATTTTGTTTTGGCCTTATGAAAGTGTGATAAATTTGTGAGAAGGAATAGAAAATGTGTTTTATAGGGGATATTTATGCTGAAATCACCATCAAAGATATAAAACATAAATACCTCTATATTCTCATATATATGTGTGTTTCCTATACACTATGTTCAGCGGTGGGCAAAGGTTCACACACAGTTCACATGCAACCGCGCCCTCTGTTAACAATATCGGTGCTCTGACTGGGGCACGCCATTTCTGTTTTGGTGTAGAACTTCGTGAACATTTTTGGATTACAACAATACTAGAGGTGCTCTCCGCACTCTAGTTTTCTCTCATACTTTGTTTATTTGCCTTCTTAGCATTACCAGCTTTCATTTTAACGAAAAGCATACGCTTTCGTTTTATTTCTTGTATTGCAATCATGGAGTGTTGATCATGAGTCCAAAAAGTGGGAAATCATCTCTACGGAGCTGTTGCTCGCAGGGAGGAGGGAAAGCGACTTCTGTCGCACATAGTTTATTAGGAATAGATGCTAGAAGAGTCCGCAATGGACAAGAAACCAGCTCCTGCGCCTTCCTCTGTGGCCAAGGGCTGTGGCAGTAATGGAAGTCAAGGTTGGTAAATTTGATTTTTAACGAGTCCTGTCTTGTTTACATTTTCGGCAGATCGCTAGGTGACGTCACGGACAGCAGGATCAAGTCCTCTCCCCCCACCGGCACCACGCTTATGCTACATCACAAATAATATAACATGATGGTGTTTAAATCGCTACCGCCTGCCCGAATGTTGCACAGGTTAGCGCTGCAGGCAATAGTTGCCCGTGGCCGCCTCGGCGTGTGCAACATTAGTCATTAGGGCGGCCATTTTTCATCAGCATTTAAGAAATTTCGGTGATTTTAGCACGTTTTGTGAGCCGACAGTGTCTTGTGAAACGAAACGTATTACCTTCCATGTAAACTTTGACCCCCCTGTGGTGATATCGCTACAAGTGAAGTGAAACGTGCATTTACCTCCTTCCCTCACAGAGAAGAAGCATCGTGGTGGAGGGTTCGCTAAGCGCAGCAATGGCGGCAACGGCCAATCGCGGCAGTTTGATGGCGGCTATGGACGAAAGCCGCTACCACAAAAGACGAAAGCTCTGGACAAGCGGCCACGTTCGAGAGGCGGATATAGTGAGAATGCTAAGGGAAGGAGTGAGGTGAGTGTGTAGGGTCATTCTCGCAGCCCTTTGGGCTCAAGGATAGAGAGCCATTCGTATCGGCAAGCATGTGTGTCTCGATGATGGCGACATGATTGAGGTGATGTAAACTTCTCTTTACGCATGTCGTACCCAAACTTGGAATTGCACAATCTCGAGATTGTGCAGCGATTGTGCTGCCCAAACTGCGGATTCCCTAGTTTGGCTGACCAATCTCAAGATTGGTTGCCCAAACTGTGGATGTGCTGAAATTCCAAGTTTGTGCAAGATTCCAAATTTGGGCACAACACGCACATCTACACACTTGTACATCTTTCATCTTACATGTCTCGGATCATCAGAACTGTTATGTGGTGTCTTGACTGACTTAGCTCTACTGACAGCAGCTGCAATGTGGCACGTAATTAGCTTTGATATTGATAAGCTTACTGTAACCACCGACAAATGGCGCTACATGCTCGTATTTAACAGGCTCATGTGATATATACATTACTTATGCATTGTCAGAAAAACTACACTGATTTAGTGGTTAGCCCAGTAGTTAACAGTAACGCATCTGCCTCTCATCTAAAAGGTTCAAGCTAGGGTGGGAAATGCAATTGGAACTTGGTAGGTGCAGAGCTATAAGCAGCTGTCACTTTGTTACCTTCCCTAGAGTTCCCCCCCCCTCCCCTATACATTCTGTTGCCCTGTATACATGACATTTCGATTTGTTTTTTGATTTGTCTATATACGTGTCAACTGTCAATACATACAGTACAAGCAGTGTGGGCCTACGTAAAATAAGCCATTAGATAACTACGAAGTATAACTACACAAAGAGTATGACAAGCACATATTTAGGTTCTAACTTCTAGTCTTTGAGTTTGAAACTTGTCCCTTTTAGGAATGTTCTCGTGTCCGTGTCAACAAGGTCGTTGCGCTCCGTGTTTTTGTGTGTAAAACACCGGCTCTTCTCTGCTTGTAGATAGCGAAGGAGGATCGGGACGTGGAGTTTTTCAGTTCTGCCCAGCCGGGCAGCAAGAAGCACAACCTCAATCACCTGCTGAATTTCACGCTCGCGCCACGAGAGGGCGACACAGCGCTGGGCGGCCGCGGTTTCAACTCGGGAGGCCTGCCGGCGTGGAGGAGGAGGCAGAAGTGGGGTCACTCGAAGGTCAAATACAACAAGGAGCAGTTCCTTCAGGCAAAGTAAGGCCGCGGCAGGAATTCTAACACCCGATCAGATACGCTGCTAGAAACTGTTGAATGCAATTTAAAACCATGTTTCAAACTTGCGCTCCTTGACTGCATAATGCATTGTGTGTCACGTTCGCGTGTCACCCCGACCATGTGTCACACTCGCTTGTCACACTCTCGTGTCACACTCATGTGTCACACTCGCGCATCACCTCGACCGCTTGTCATGCTCGCGCATCACCCCCACCGCGCGTCACACTCGTGTGTCCCCCCGACCGCGTATCACGCTCGCGCATCGCCCCGACCGCTTGTCACCGTGACCGCGTATCACACTCGCGCGTGCGTGTCTCTTGCAGCTGCCAGTTCGTCGTGCAGGACTCGGGCGACTACACCGTGCACGCAGCGAACCCGGACACGCTCGTAGACTGGTCCCTCGTCGAGCAGATTCGCATCTTCGGGCACGAGGTGCCGTCGTGTCCCATCTGCCTCTACCCTCCGACGGCCGGTGAGTGTACTTGCCATGGTTGTCCCTTTGTTACTTGCCATGGTTGTCCCTTCGTTACTTGCCATGGTTGTCCCCTTCTTACTTGCCATGGTTGTCCCTTCGTTACTTGCCATGGTTGCACCATCAATACGCCCCTTTCTTACTTGCTGTGGGTGCTCCTTGTTACTTGCCATGGTTGCCCACTCATTACTTGCCAACTTGCCCGAATGTCCCTCTAACTTGCCCGACTGCCTATCAGTCATGCTGGAAATCACGTCATGATTTAACGGGTGACTTTTGTCATGCAGCCAAGATGACGCGGTGCGGTCACATCTACTGCTGGTCGTGCATACTGCACTACCTCGCGCTGAGCGACAAGCCGTGGAGGAAGTGTCCGATCTGCGACGAGGCAATCCACAACAGCGACCTGAAGAGGTGCGTACGTGGTTCACCCTCCCCTCCCCCCTGCCCCCGGAATATTTTTGGAATGCAGTTTTGATGTAACGAGTTTCAACGCGGGCGTCGGGGCAACCTGTAGTAGTGACGGTGCTCGTCAGAAATGATGGATAAAGTAATAGTGGTAGTAGTAGTGGTAGTAGTAGTGGTAGTGGTAATAGTAGTAGCAGCAGCAGCAGTAACAGTGGTAGCAGCAGCAACAGTAGTGGTAGTAGCAGCAGCAGCAGCAGCAGCAGCAGTAGCAGCAGCAACAGCGGTAGCAGTAGCAGCAGCAGCAGTAGTGGTAGCAGCAGCAACAGCGGTAGCAGTAGCAGCAGCAGCAGTAGGGGTAGCAGCAGCAGCAGCAGCAGCAGCAGCAGCAGCAGTAACTGTCACAGCAGCAGCAACATCGTCATCATCAGCAGCAGCGTCAGCTTCGTCATCATCAGCAGCAGCGTCAGCATCGTCATCATCGTCGTCATCATCAGCAGCAGCGTCAGCATCGTCATCATCATCAGCAGCGTCAGTATCATCATCATCATCGTCAGCAGCAGCAGCAGCAGCATTGTTTGTAGACAGCGTGTAGACAATCTGACGTGTGCTTGTGTATTAACAGCGTCGTGGTGCTGGAGACGCATCAGTTCAGCGCCGGCGACGAGGTTTCGATGAAGCTCATGCGGCGCGAGCGCGGCTCCGTCCTCGCGATGCCGCGCGCGCACTGGCAGAGCGCCGCCGGGAAACCGTTCTGCGAGAAGGGTAAGCGACAATCCGCGAGCGCGCGCGTCCACTTTGCCCGGGATTTCTCCCCGTTCGTCCTGAAAGAAGAAGATTGTGTCGCCTTCACAGACGACCCACTCCCGTGCGCGTTGAAGCTCTGCCATCGTGCAGCCTCCCTCTGGGACGCATCCCGGTTTTCTTAGAGAAGCACCGACGCGTAACGTCGGTGCCGGTGGAGCGTAGGTTCAGCCGTAATTTCGTCGGCCGTCCCCTGCGTTGGTTGACCTACAGTTCTGGGTAACAGAATTGGTTTTGGTTCTGGAGAACCTCCTTCGTGTACTATTGCTGGCTTGGTGAACGAGCGAAACCCAGCGCTTGTACGCGGTGCATGCTAACGTGTTGATTTAGTGACCGGCCTTCATTTCTAAGCATTCTTTCGAACTCATTGCCACTAAGCATGGCTTCTTCGTGCCCCTGTGTGGCTTCCATTGCACGATGCTGCGACGGCGTCTTCGTGTGTGTTTGCCGTTGCAGACGTCGCCGACCTCCACAGTTCCATGAAGCTGCTGTCGGTTAGCGGCGCAAGAAACCTGGACAGCATCGTTAGCAGGGAGAGGACAGCGCTCGAAACACAGTACGCGGTCGAGAAGCAGGTAAGCTTCGTTAGTAGCCAGGTGTGCGGTTAAGCTTCGTTAGTAGCCAGGTGTGCGGGTAGGCTTTGTTAGTAACCAGGGGGCCCGTTTAACTTTGTTAGTAACCAGGTTGAGCGGGTAAGCTTCGTTACCTAGCCAGGTGGGAGAGTAAGCTTTGTTAGTAGCAACAGGTGAGCAGGTAGCTTCGTTAAGTAGCCAGGTGAGTGAGTAAGCATTGTTAGTTAGACCAGGTGAGTGATGTAAGCTTTAGTTGATTAAGCCAGGCTGAGTGAGTAAGCTTTCGTTACTAGCTGCAGGTGGGAGAGTAAGCTTGTTAGTAGCCAGGTTTGAGGCAGGTAAGCTTCGTTAGTAGCTCAGCGTGAGTGAGTAAGCATGTGTTAGTAGCCAGGTGGAGTTGAGTAACTTTGTTAGTAGCCAGTGTGAGTGAGTAGCTTTGTTTAGTAGTCAGGTTAGCGGGTAAGTTCGTTAGTAGTTCAGGTGAGTGAGTTAAGCTTCGTTAGTAGTCAGGTGAGTGGAGTAAAGCTATCGTTTAGTAGCCCAGGTTAGCGGGTAAGCTTTGTCGCTAGTAGCTCAGGTGAGTGAGTTTAACTTCATTAGTAGCCAGGTGAGTGAGTAAGCTTCGTTAAGTACCGAGGTTGAATAGAAGTAAAGCTTCGTTACGTAGCCAGGGATGAGTGAGTAAGCTTCGTTAAGTAGTTCAGGTTGTGAGTGAGTAAGCTTTCGGTTAAGTAGCCAGCCGTGAGCAGGTAACCTTCATTAGCAACTAGTTGTGAACCATCCTGTGTTAGGTCACGCGATATTCGACCCGTTTGTGACCGTGTTTGCATTTGTCTGAGCAGCTCAGGATCAAGTGGTCCAGATCAGACTCGGTCCGTACCAAACAAACGGACCCTAAGTCCGGTGCTCGCTTCATTATGTACTGACCGGTGGGCAGTGTGTGATGACCGGCTTTGCATCGTCGTTGCAGTATTCGGAGTCCTGCTTCATCCAGTCGGCCCTGACGCATCTCGAGCAACGGGAGGCTGCGCTCAGGATGAGGCAGTCGCCGCCGGCAACGAAGCCCAAGCCGGTTGGAGAGGAAAGCAGAAGAGGAGGAAAACGAGGAGAGAAGGGACTGGAAGGAAGCCGGTGGTGTTCGGGGAGAAGGTGAGATGATCAATCGTACATTTGAGGAGGTGCGGTTAGAGTAGTACGCCGTTGGCAATGTCCCGTGGCTCGTTGTCAGAAACATAATCTCTAGTGTTTCCGTAGAGCGAACACTTCGCGTCTAGTAAGGCCACGTGTCTCAGTTCCCGTGATTTGTAGTTATACAGCGAGACAACCTCCATAGAACGGACACACCCGTATACGAAGAACAATATTAGTATCTCCTTTGAGTGATCCTTATATTATGCAGATTTGATGTTACTCGTGCAGGGCATGAAATTAACTTTTGAACAAGGGAGTCCAACGGACCCCCTGCCTCAAAAGAGCGGAGTCACGCAGCAAAATGAGGGAGTCCGCAGTCGTTTGAGGCTTCCAAAATTAAAGATATTAACAATAATTACATGTGCTTATTTTTAAGATTCATGGTGTTGCACGTCTGCCCAATTTTCTTTGGACATTAGCTTAAAAAAATACAGTAATTCCGCGAGGCCGTGCTCCGGAACGAACTAGTTAGTATAGCAGAATTTTCAGGGAGTCACCCGGACTCCTGCATATGTCAAATCAGGGAGTCCGACAGTAAATCAGGGAGTATTTGACTCCGGACTCCCGTTAATTTCGCACCCTGCTCGTGTAGAGGAAGCGATTTCGGCTGCGATAAGTAATGCATAAACAACGCGTCACACGGCGAGGTTTTTACCGCGTCGTTTGTTCTCGTTATCAAGGCGATAGTGGAATACGCGTCGGCCTTCGATGACCAAGTCGCCAACCCCGACGTGACCTTTGACCTGAGCGACGAGGCAGACAACTCGCCCGGCGAACCAATGGAGGAAGTCAGCGCGGATGTAGATGGCGCCGGCGCTACAGAGGAAGTCAGCGCGGATGTAGATGGCGCTGGCGCTACAGAGGAAGTCGACGCGGATGTAGATGGCGCCGGCGCTACGGAGGAAGTCGACGCGGATGTAGATGGCGCCGGCGCTACGGAGGAAGTCGACGCGGATGTAGATGGCGCCGGCGCTACAGAGGAAGTCGACGCGGATGTAGATGGCGCTGGGAGCTTTGACGGTTCGCCGCCGCCAGAGGTGATGCAGTGTGCCTGAGGAACGTCGGAGAGCGCGGGAATTTCTGAAAAAGCGTAGAGAGTAACGCATTATTAACACGTGCGCGTTCGAGATTTCAAGAAGCTCCGCGAAAACGGGGCGTCACGCAGTGTCGGGGGCGTTTCCGTGGTAACGTCGGGGCTCCGTCGTAACTTTCATTTACATTTTGTTAATAGTGCTAATCGTTGCCGTAGTAACGTGAGCTTTCTGACTGCGACGCTAGCGTCGCGTGTGATTGGAGTCGCTTCGTCAAAATCTCACTTGTTTCTTCAGTTCAACGTGGCTGACATACCTGTGGTGCCCTCTAGTGTCTGTCTGGGAAGTCTAGTGGTGGAGGCAGAGGGCGCCACTGAGCAGCGGGCGGAGCCGAGTAGGGGCAACGTGCCGAAGGACAATTTTTACTTCTATCAAGGTGAGCATGTAGGCTTTGTTTGTGCTTTGACTGTTGTTTATGACAAGGTCTTCTATGAACATGTTGTTCGATCTGTGAGCAAATGGGTACGTTGTGACCGGTCACTTGGAATCGAATCTGTCGTGGGTGCATGAGGATGGGCCACAGAGGCGTGCGCATCGCTTAAAGTGATTATCTTGCAAATAAAGCATCAAAAATAGATGCAGACGAATGAATATAGCTTCGTACTACGAGCATTTGCCGTTAAGCAAGAAATGCCAGCAAGTGCTCGAATTATCGGGAGAAAAATTATGGAAATATATCCAAAAAAAAAATATCAAGAGAAATCGTTGCTCTAACTCGTTCGTTATTAGCTCACCTTGACATCGTCAAGCTGAGCTATTGCCATGGGTCGTCGTCCGTCGTAGGTCCGTCCGTTCGTCCGTCAACATTTGGCTACGATCAACGATAACTCAAGAACCATTTGACCCACATGTTTGAAATTGGTTATAGTTGTTACTGCTATGCTCCCATATTGAACGTCCTATTTTGGAGCACGCCAGTCGACGTACTTTCGAGCCACGGCAATTTTTTGGCAAAAATGGGAATTGCCATTAGTCAGTTCTGGTTCAACGGATTTTGCTCATTTTTGGTATGTGAATGAATAAGGGCCAGGGGTTTTGATATTTAAAAAAAATTATGCAAATTC